TCACCTCAGCCTCCCAAAGCGCTGGGATTACAGGCTGAGCCACCAAGCCCGGCTTCATTTCTTTTTGTTGCTGATAATATTTCATTGTATGGATATACCACATTTTATTCACATATTCTTCAGTTGATGGACATTTGAGTTATTTCCACTTCTAGCTTTTAAAAATAATGCTGCTGTGAACGTTTGTATACAAACTTTTGGATAGACATATGTTCTTATTCCTCTAGGAACAGAATTGCTGGATAATGTGGCAATTCCATGTTTAATACTTTGAGGAACTGCCAGACTATTTTCCATCGCAGCTGTATCATTGACATTCCTACCTACCTGATTTCTTTTTTTTAAGTTTACTGAAATGACAGAACAGGCTGCTCCATAGGCAGAGCAGCCTGGGCTGGGCTATAGGAAGAAGAGCCTGATTTCCTTTTAATTACAACAGAAACCAGAAACTAATTTCTGAATTCATTAACTCAATAAAGCTTTATTGAGTGATTGTTGCATTCAAAGCACAAGTCAGCTAAACACCTCCTCTGAAAACTTTTCTCTGGGGATGGGAAATGAATAAACATTAACTAAGTGCCTGTTTTATGCCAGTTATTGATTCATGTCATTCCTTTGGCATTTTTCTCTTGGCAGCCTCCCGGGCCCAACAAGGAGAGGTGATGAGGCTGGCATGTCGTTTGGATCCCAAGACTAGCTTCCAGATGGCTGGGGAATGGTTAAAGTATCAGCTTTCAACTTCTGTTGATACTGGATCTGTAAATTGTAAGTTTTTTTTTCATTACTGAACATCATTGAAGATTTGTAACAATACCAAAACTGCACATAGGAAATAAACCTGAGCCACAGTCAGACAATATACTAATACTGTTAAAATAGCCTTAATAGCCGGGCTCGGTGGCTCAGCCTGTAATCCCACCACTTTGGGAGGCTGAGGTGAGTGGATTGCCTGAACCTGCGGGTTCGAGACCCGCCTGCGCAACTTGGCGAGACCTCATCTCTACAATAAATCAAAAAATTAGCTGGGCGTGGTAGTGCACACCTGTAGTTCCAGCTACTTGGAAGGCTGAGGCGGAAGGATCGCCGGAGCGCAGCAGGTCGAGGTTGCGGTGGCCGGGAGCGTGCCACTGCACTCCAGTCTGGGCGACAGAGTGAGACTCCAACTCAAAAAAAAAAAATAGCCTTACTGATCAGGCATAGTATTTCACACCTATAATCCCTGCACTCTTGGGTGACTATAATCCCTGCACTCTTGGGTGACCTATGTGGGAGGATTGCTTGAGTCCCGGAGTTCAAGACCAGCCTGGGCAACAGACTCTGTTTCTACCAAAGGAATTAGGCAATTAGCCAGGTGTGGTGGCATGCACCTATAAAATACTTGGGATGCTGAGGTAAAAAGATCCCTTGAACAAGACCCTATCTCTACTAAAAAATAAAAAATTGGCCAGGCAAGGTGGCATGCACCTGTAGACCCAGCTACTCAGGAGACTGAGGTGGAAGGATCACCTGAGCCTAGGAGGTCAAGGCAGTGGTGAGCCATGATCATGCCACTGCAGGTTAAAAAAAAAAAACAAGGCTGGGCACAGTGGCTCATGCCCATCATCCCAGTGCTTTGGAGACCAGCCTAGCCAACATAGTGAGACCTCATCTCTACAAAAAAAAAAAATTAGCTGGGTGTGATGGTGAGCACCTATAGTCCTAGCTACTTGGGCGACTGAGGTGGAAGGATTGCCTAAGCCCAAAAGGTCAAGCATGCAATGAACTGTGATGGTGCTACTGCACACCAGCTGGATGACATAGTGAGGAGTCACCTCAAAAAAAAAAAAAGCCTTGCTGGTCAGGTGCAGTAGTTTGTGTTTATAGTCCCAGCACTCTAGGAGGCTACAAGGGGAGGGCTGCTTGAGGCCAGGAGTTCTGAGGCTATCCTGGGTAGCATAGCAAGACCCTATCTCTACAAAAAGATGGACGTGATGGTGCATGCAGCTACCTGAGAGGTTGAGGCAGGAGGATTGCTTTAGTCCAGGAGTTCGAGTCTGTAGTGAGCTATGACCACACCACTGCACTCTAGCCAGGCTGACAGAACAAGATCATGTTTCCAAAAAAAAAAATAGCTTTGCTCACTATCTAATTCCATCCTAGGGAATGAACATTTTCATTGGTACACACAAAGCAAATGAGACCACATTTTATATTTGTTTAAATTAGGATAACACCATGTCCTTATCAGTTGTGCCCTCATTTATTTTTTCTGACTGTGTCAGCCAATTGTTTATTGGTGATTTTATTGCTTCACTTCAGGCACCATCTTAACAAATTGCATGTTTAGACCTAACTTGTAAAACTCTTCAACCAAGTTTTTTTTTTTTGAGTCGGAGTCTCACTCTGTTGCCCAGGCTGGAATGCAGTGGCATACTTAACAGCCACTGCAGCCTGGACCTGTTGGGCTCAGGTGATCCTTCCACCTCAGCCTTACAAGTAGTTGGAAGGAACTGTAGGCATGTGCCATTGCGCCTGGCTAATTTTTTTTATTTATTGTAGAGACGAGGTCTCGCCAAGTTGCCCAGGTTGGTCAACCCAGTTCTTTAGCAGGAACAGTACAGGGCCTTTCCATATCACTCAGTTACCAAAAAACCTTTGGAAAATTGCATTTTATATAAAATCAAAATAACCCCTCTTTACCAAAATGTATCAGCCAAGTAACTTCTCTCTACTCCATATCTTCTGTCATCTTATTAATGCAGGCTTCATGCGACAGTATTAATAAAGCAAGAAAGGGTAAATTAGTGCAAGTCACTGCTTTAGAGAAGCTCTGCACTGTTGGTCAATTTCCAAGCATACTAGTTACTTGACATTTGTGAGATTTAATAGTCGGTTGAATTTACAATTGACTCTGACAATTGACTCTGACAGTTGACTCTGAATTTACGATTGACTCTGGTATTTGAATTTACAAAGGTCTTTGACATTTGGCAACTTAAAAGTTTGAGGAGGCCCAAATGTGTTACTAAATGAAGCTAGTAAATGGGAGTGCTGTATGTAAGCAAAACATACAATTTACAAATCTTTTTACCTTTGCCTTGGTATTTAAGTGGTGTGCTTTGGTGGTATTTGTGAGTTCAAAGGATGGCACAGTTCTCTAGACAGCCCTTCGAGTTGTCATGAGGCTGTTAGTGTTTTGTATCTTATATCATTTCCTTATTGGAAAAAGATTCTTTATGGTCTCAAATATTTAATTACTTAGATTTTTGTAGACAGGGGAAAGAGAGGAGAAATTAATCAAGTGCCTGTAATGGGCCAGGCAGTGTTTTTGATGCTTACATGCATATTCTCATTCAGTACTCAAAATAGTTGTATCACAAGGCTCATAGAGGTGAATCCAGATGACTGGTTACAAGTGAAGGCAGGATTAGGAATCTTCATGTACCCCTTTGCAGCACATTCTTTTCTTTTACCCAAGCTGAAGTGGGTAAGAGTACCCTGTTCCTTCAACCATGAGATTACCAGGTGGTCTTTAAGGCCCCAATGTCTCTCTGTGTCTTTTGTGATACTTCAGTACTGATAAGTGTTTATGTGTGTGTGTTTTAAAAGCCTGTTCTGCAACTGGAACTGGAGAAGGAAATCTCTGCTCCATCTTCTCATCTTCATTCGTGCAGTGGGAAGCCATGACTTTTTTTTTGGAAGGTGTGATCAACCAGATGTTTCGAACTGTAGATAGAGAAGTAAGTAACTATTTCCCATACGGACTGTATAGTAATTTTAATCTTTTTTAAACTGGCAGAGGTATAGGAAAATATGAATGTGCACCTTAACAGAAAAGGGATCTGAGATGTAAAGAAGTTAAATAGCATACTCAAGTTCAAAACTGGCAGAACTGGGACCAAAACTCAGGTCTTTCTGACCCTAAGCCCCACAACATTTAGTGTATATTTTAAGAGTTTATTAAGATGAGCCTGATAGTACACAGAGCCACAGGTAGGGTAAGTATTGCAGGGAAAATAGTGATGGAAACTTGGAATTGAGTAATCTTAAGAGATATTTGCCATTAAGCATCCTTTTTAGTTGATATTAGATGGACCAGAATATTCATTCTGGCCGCTCAGTATCCCTTTTCTCTGAATAAATAAATCTTGCCTTTTTATACTCATTGTTTATCACCCTTCTCTTAGTACATTACCTTAGCTGTAGCTAAAATTGATTAACAGTACACATCATATTAACTATGTTAATTTGATTAAAATAAAATCATAGCTAATTAGGGGGTAATTATATCTTGGTGTATTCAAGGTTAGTTGTGATAAGAATCTCTAAGTCCCTTGAAGATAAGTGAGACGTAATACTTTTTTTCATAAGTGGCATGCTAACAAATTGGATCTTAGGGTCATTAACCGCATCCATCTTATATTAATATAATGAAATGAAGGCATTCTGAGTTTGTCCCAAAATCTAGGTGAGAAATCCTTCTTGGATTCTGCATTTTTGCTAAATTAACTCTTTACAGATTTAGATGGCTCTTACCTAATAGAGTAAGTATGGTAAATCAAGAAAGCCCCTTATTCAATCACAGGCATGCTGTCATTTAAAAATATTAAATACGTAAAAACATGGATTGGTTCCTGCTTGAAGGCAAGAGAATGAAATGTTCTGGGTTTGTCAAGAATTTGTTTTTAAGATATACAAACAGACTGGCAGTATTTGGAGGAGGAAGGTGCCTAGTTGGTTTTGGATTAGATTTTACAATTTGAATAGGAATGGTATATGGTCAAAACACTAAATACTAGTTGGTCAAAATGTACCTCCCCCCAAAATGTTTGAACTTTATATAGGAAAAAGATGTTGGCTTGAGACAAAGCATAAGGTGACAAATTATTTTAGAAATTTGGTGGAAGCCGGGCTCGGTGGCTCAGCCTGTAATCCTGCGCCTTTGGGAGGCTGAGGTGAGTGGATTGCCTGAGCCCGCGGGTTCGAGACCCGCCTGGGCAGCGAGACCTCATCTCTACAATAAATCAAAAAAATCAGCTGGGCATGGTAGCGTATGCCTGTAGTTCCGGCTACTTGGAAGGCTGAGGCGGAAGGATCGCCGGAGCCCAGCAGGTCGAGGCTGCGGTGGCTGGAAGCGGCCACTGCACTCCAGTCTGGGCGACCGAGTGAGACTCCAACTCAAAAAAAAGAAAGAAATTTGGTGGAGTCAGAACAGATAAAGAGAAAAACGGTACTAAATTCTTTTTTCCTCTGGAGAATTCTGGGTGTGGTAGTAGTTGACATTGTTAATGACTTAAAGTCAGTCTCTTAACTCTAAAACCTATTCTTTTTTTTCTTCACCAAAATGAAATGAGTAACAATGAAGTATTTCTAATCAAGAGAGATGAGTGTTTGATGAATGTATAAGTTATTTACTTATTTGTTGATGGAAATATATATATATTTCCTCAGGAGTGTTCAAGTGGTGAATCTTGACCTGTTACATTCCCACTTGACAACTATTAATTTCTGATTTTGCAGAGTATTACCTAGTCCAGGGGTTTGCAAAACTGCTCATTTTCTGCCCTTAATCCCCCACCTCTCAACCATAGTAGCTCATCTTTTATCATATTTATTTATATTTTCATGAAAGAGCTTGGCCAAGAGTTTCTTTGACTAAAAAGGTTAAAAGCTGTTCATATAGTCCATGGTGGCATTAGCTGAGTTTGTATTTCCAGTAGTATATATCAGAGAACATTTGGTCCAGCCTTGCTTTAGCAGCTTTAGCAATAGATTGATACAGGGAATACAGTAGGGGAGAAAAATCACCTCCCCAGGTAGTTAAATATAGAGCCTACAGTATTTTTAATAATGTGGTGCTGGCATTAGACACAGCTTATTGCAACAAAATAACACAGAAACACCCTGGAACATATATAAGCATCCCAAAGAAATTAGGAAGGATTGTATTCTTTAATAAATAGCATTCAGGAAAACTGGGGCAAGTTCTCAAGTTGAAAAAACATGAAAGTAATCACCAAAAACACAAAAACAAAATCCCAATGACTTTAACTAAATATAGTTTTAAGCTTGCACCATAAAATAAACTTTAAAAGGCAAACTTGGAAAACTTGGAACAATATTTACAATAAGTATAGATGAGATTGACATTGCTTATAGAGTACACTTGGCACCGCAACTTTGAAGAATAATTTGGCAATATCTAGTTGAAGATACTAACCTTACAAACCAACAGTTCTACTCCTATGTTTATACTCCAAAGAAATCTTGCATGTGTTCAGAGAAAAAGTTTTCATATTAAGCCAAGGGGGGAAACTTAATATCAGAAAGAACAGATGAATAGATGGTAGTGTATCTGTAGTGCAATGAAAATGAAATAGGGCTATACTATGAATAAGAATGTTTCTCATAAATGTAATGTTGATCCAAAACAGCAAAAGGTAAACATACAATACTGTGTAATTAGGAATATGCTACATATATGGCAAATGTATAAAAAAAAATTAAACTCCTTGAAATTATGAGCACTGTCTACCAGAATAGTGGCTACCTCTAGGTTTGAAAAGGAGGGTATGCACAAAAAGTACCAACTGTATCAGTGACATTGTATTTCTTAAAGTGGGCATATGGGGGTTAATTAAATCATTTATACCTTTTTTTATATTTTTGATAACTTTTTTATACATTGATAAGAAAAACACTAGCACCCAGTAGAAGAAATAGACAATATAATCAGATAATGTATAGAGGAGAATCTAAAGTAGCTGATAAAAATGAAAGAAATCAGCCTCATTGTTGATCAAAGAAATACCAATTTAAACTTTGAAATTTTTGCCTAATAAACAAAGGTTTTGGGGACTAATACTGCTGAGAATGTGGTAAGAAGGACACATGGCTAGAGAACCAATCAATAGAGCCTGTAAAGAAGAAAAAGAGCTGGAGTTGGAAGAATGTTCATACCTTTTGACCTAATAATTCCAGTCATCCCCAAAAATCTCTTTATTCAAATGAAATAGTTGAAACTGTAGACAAGATTTTTTGTGTGTGTGTTTTTTTTTTTTTAACAAAGATGTTTATTAGCATTATTTACAATAGTGAAGAACTGGAAACATTCTCAATTTTCAGTGTTAAGAAATGCTATATCCCTAATATGACACATGGTGGTATAATTTATGAAAAGTTTCAGTAATATGGGGTAATGCTTAGAATTTTAAAGGTTAAAAAAGCAGTATGTAGCTGAGTGCGGTGGCTCATACCTGTAATCCCAGCACTTGGAGGCAGAGGCAAGAAGATTGCCTAAGTTAACATGTTCAAGACCAGCCTGGTAACTTGGCAAGACCTCGTCTCTATAATAAATCAAAAATTAGCCAGGTGTGGTGGTGTGTGCCTGTAGTTCCAGCTACTTGGGCTCGGGTGGAAGAATCACCTGAGCCCAGCAGGTCGAGGCTATTGTGGCTGTGATGCTGAGTGTACCATTGCACTTCCAGCCTGGGCAACAGAGTAAGATTCCAACTCAAAAAAAAAAAGCAGTATGTAAGATTATATATGACAACAATACTATGTATTTACAAACTAGTCTAAAGAAAAATAAACAAACGTGGTTATCTCTGAGTTTTAGCAACCTTGTTAACTTCCTTTTTGTGTCTTTATTACAGGAAATTCCTGTTAATGATGGAATAGAGTTGTTGCAGATGGTCCTGAACTTTAACACCAAAGATCCCCTCATCCTGTCCTGTATCCTTACTAATGTCTCAGCGCTCTTTCCATTTGTCACCTACAGATCAGAGTTCTTGCCCCAGGTCTTCTCTAAGGTAAAGCCCATCTCCTTTGTAAATTTTATTTTGATATTTCTAAGCTTATTTTTAATATTTTCATTTTTTAGAGTCTGGGCCTCACTATATTGCCTAGGCTGGACTTGAACTCCTGGGCTCAAGTGATCCTTCCACCTCAGCCTCCTAGTAGCTGTGATTATAGGCACGTACCACCATGCCCAGCCTAAGCTAATTATTTTTGTAACTGTTTTTGAGATTATGTGAGGCAAACTAAAAAACACAGTCATTTATTCATTTTTGAAATATTTACTCAGTATTTATTGTGGTTCGGGCACCATGCTAATGCCTTACTCTTTAGGAACACTCTGGGCAGAAAGGCCCATAAACAGATATTGTACCTAGACAGCACTAGAAATATACTTGTTTACTTGTGCACTGGGAAATAGGAAAAGAATAGGTAAAGAAAAGTATTAGCCGGGCTTGGTGGCTCAGCCTGTAATCCCGCACCTTTGGGAGGCTGAGGTGAGTGGATTGCCTGAGCCTGCGGGTTTGAGACCTGCCTGGGCAGCGAGACCTCATCTCTACAATAAATCAAAAAATCAGCCAGGCGTGGTAGCTCATGCCTGTAATTCCGGCTACTTGGAAGGCTGAGGCAGAAGGATCGCCGGAGCCCAGCAGGTCAAGGCTGCGGTGGCCAGGAGCGGCCACTGCACTCCAGTCTGGTCGATAGAGTGAGACTCCAACTCAAAAAAAAAAAGAGAAAAGTATTAGTGTGTGTGGTCAGACTGGGAAGGGATTTGTGAGGGGAAAGGACAGTGTGCGTAGTTTTCAGGTTTCCAAGTTAGGTGACGAGGTGGGTGATAAAGCCACCACCTGAGTGAGAATACCGGCTCAGGAAAGAGAGCAGGAGTAAAGAAGAGAAAGGGTGAGCGTTTTGGAATACTATGTAGAGATAGAAGCATCTCATATAAATTGGCTAATGAGGTTGCAGATCTAGACTCTAGAAAGTAATGAGATTATTAAAGCATCATCATCATAAAAGTCCCAAGACTGAAAGTGAAGTCTTAGGAAAGAATATGTATGTAGTTAGGAGACATGTGGATCAAGCAGGGAACCCTAGGTATTACCATCGTTGGAGGAGGACAGCAAAGGAAGAGAAGCCTCCACAGAAGAAAAAAGCCAGAAAAATAAAGACAAGGTTGTGTCACAAGGCGAGTAGAACTTCTGAAAAGGGCTTATTTGTTGCAGCAGAAATTCTCTAAGTGTTGGAGAATGTCGGTTGCATTTCTTCCCCCCCCATACATACGGAAACAATAACTGCATTTCTTGATTAGACCCT